CCCTGCTGACCCCTCCTGCAGCCCCCTACACTTCTCATCTGGAATACCTACAGCTATCACTCGATAAATATTTAATTATGTGTGGCTTTCTTTCAAAGATGGGAGGGCCTGTATTCTGTGCCGAACATGCAGTAGGCACCCTAAATATTTTACTGAAGGAATGAAAGGTAGCCAGGGAGCTGGTCCCAAGATGTTGACACTGGACCACCCTTACTCTCTTTCAGCTCACAGCTCCCTCACCAGTCCCGTGGCTCCAGACACTGCCTTAGACTGACTCTCTGAGGCTCTAGAGGCTGTCTGGCTGGAGGAAGATCAGAATATACATGGCTGGGTCCCAGAAGAAACATCGGAACTTCACTCTTCTAGAAATGCCTTGAGCACTGGGCCCAGGCCGGGATCCCCTGTGGGCCCCAAGTGAGCCCGCACACAGCACCACCAGGGCAGGTATCTTGGGTACAGGGGTGCCCCAGAGGTGGGTACCTTGGCCAGGTTGCTGATGCAGATGGTCATGGTGAAACAGATGGGGAATATGGGAGCCATAATCTCGAGGAACATGGCTACATCATTGAGGATGTCGGCAAAAAGCCTGGGGGAAGGGATAAGAGGTCAGAGGTCAGAGACCTTCACACTAGAAGACTCCCCTCCCCTCAGTTCCAGCCCCTTCTCACCTCCACTGCTTGGCATTACAGTCCATTTTGCTCCTGTGGGGGAGGAGAGGTTGGTTTGCAATTTGGATTTAAGGAGAAAACACAGCCTGTGGGCAGTGCAGGCCATTCCTATGCCTTGGAAAGGTCCGAAGGGCTCAGGAAAACCCACACCCCAGCCAGACATCTGTCCCCACACCCTGTCACTGCTGCCTGAAATGCCACCATTAGCTGGGAGGACCTTCAGTGGTCACTCATATTTCCCCGTTACTAACCCATGAGGCACCAAAGGAAAAAGCTGATTGCCTTGTGGCTGCTCCCCACCCTCGGGTCCTCCTGGGAGAGAGGCCATCCCTGGGGTCCTCTGCCAACTCCCCTCCTCTTCCTTCTGCTTCATAGAAGGTACCCAGCAAGAAGTCCACATATTCTATAAACAATACATTTAGTGTAAACACTACGCTGCATGTTACAGACAACTAGCCCAGAGAGGGATATGACTTCCCTCGGATCAGATGGGAGTGGCGGGAAAAGGCCGAAAGAGCCAGGCTCTGACATCCAGCCTAGGATATCTCTATCACACGATGCCGCAGATGGTTCCCTCCTCCCTGGCCCTTTTGCACAAACCCCCAGGGACTACTTCTCCAAGATCCCAGTGGCGGGAGATGCGGCAGCCCCCTGCCCAGCTCAGAATTTGCAGCATTAGCCCTGACCCTTAATTTGAAATCCCCTAAAGGGAAAGGGAGCATTCCTGGACGGGGCACGGGACACGCATGGGGAACTCCTGATGGAGCGAACATATGGCAAAGGCAGGACTAGAACATGTGGGCCTGGTCTTGGGCTCTACCCAATGCCACAGAAATACCACAGGCTTTAGGTTCAAATCCCATCTCACCAGTTACAAGCTGTGTGACTTGGTCTGCTTCACATCTGGAAAAGGTACACATTCAATCCTACTCTACACAGTTATCAAAAGGATTAGAGAGGATACACAGAGAGCTGGTGAGGCCCAGTTAGGGTTAGTAATTGCAGCTGGTGTTTACTGAACACTTATTATGTGCTAAGCACTTTACATAGCTCACTGCACCTCACAACCACGACTGATGGCAGATACTCACTCACTCCTGAGGTCACCCAGTAGTGACTCAAGGAGGAAGCAGGCAGCATGACACCCTCAATCCCTTCTAGATAAATGGTGATGTGGATCCCACGTCGGACAGGGATCCTGATAACCTACCCAAGCCCACTCCCCACTCAGCTTAGCAAAGTCCAACCAAGTATCTAAGCCGCCACAGTAGCCTCTGGAGTAAAGGTATTCCTTCTGGGCTAAGCACCGTCCCATCCAAGCTTCTTTTTTAACAAGCCAGCAGTGGATGCTCAGAGCCTGTGGCTCCCTGTGTTTTTCCATGATGGAGGGGCAAATCAGTGCTCTTGAAGGCAGATCTCATGAGCCTGGCAATGGCTCTGTGGCTTCACTGCTTGGTGACCCCAGGCAAGTCACCTGTACTGGGTACTCACTAAAGACTCCTTAGCTCTGATATACCTGCAAAATCTCCCCACCCCTGGAGACTGGTAGGAAAGAGGGGGAGCTGAAAATACAGCCAGGGCTGAGAAAGACATGACTCCTGTCTAGGGAGAGTGGCTAGAAGTCTGCAGATCGGGAAGAAAAACTCACCCCATCCACCAGGCAAAGATGATGCGGCCCAGCATGCCAGTTGAATCTGGGGGAGAGAGGCATCGGTAAGGAACAAGCAAGAGCCTTGGGGGCTGTAGGGCCTGGCAGAGCCTGGCACTGAGATGGCTTTCTACCTTGGATCACTGCCCTTGGGAGCTCAGTCTGGTACGATAAGTTCTAGACAGACGTAGCTGCGTTATGGGGTCAGAAGTGCCGAGACTTAGCAGTCCCTCAGCATGTACCCCAGAGAACTAGGTACCCATGCACACCAAGAGACACGGACCAGAAATATTCTTTGCAGCATCGTTTATAACAGCAAAAAAACTGGGAATAATGCAAATGCTCATCAACAGGAGAATGCATAAACAAATTCCGGTACATTTACTCAGGGGCATACTAGACAGCAGTGAAAACCTAATGGGCCACAATTACCCACATCGGCATGGATGAATCCTAGTATTATCATCCTGCATGAAAAAGTAAGTCATGATGACTACATACAGCACAGTATACTCTTCATAAAGCTCGAAAACGACTGAGACTAAACAATATAGTGTCTGGGTATATATATCTATATGGTAAAACTATTTTTTTAAAAAGCAGGAAATTCTGTGTGGAAAGTTCAGAAGTTATTGTTGATATTCTAGCTCTTAGGTTGCGCAGTGGGTTCACAGGTGGTCATCAGAGTATAAATAAGTAAAAAGGATTTGAACTGCAGGTTGGTGACAAGCGAGCTGGGAGTGTGGGGCAGAGGGAGAGGCCTCCTCAGGCTAGGGAGAGTCAGAGAGGTCTCTGGAATCCACTAGACCTTCACTTGCACAACAAGTGCTTCTTGGCTACCCACTGCCGTGAGGCCTGGGGGGCACCACAGTGAGCCAGAGTCATGGTTCCAGGCTCAAAAGCCAGTGTAAAAGCAGACAGCAGCCACTATGAAAAACACTGATTTAGACCAAGGGTCAGTTAACGGTGGTCTGTGGGCTTCTTCGCCGTTTTTGTAAATAGTTTTACTAGAACACAGCTGTGCCATTTGTTTCCAGACTGTCTATGGCTCTTTTCATAACACAATGGCAAAATCAAGTTGCTGCAAGTGAAACTGTACAGCCTGCAAAGGGTAAAATCTTTACAGTCTGGTCCTTCAAAGAAAGTTTGCCCACCACTGATTTAGACCCTACCTTATACTGAGAGTAGTACTCATTAAGCCCAGCAGGGGGATCACAAAGGACTGTTCTAGAATCAAACTGAGAAGGCCTCACACTGCGGGCACTGGGAAGGACAGGCAGAGCGGGCAGAGGACCCTTAGCTTGTTTGAGCTTGAGGGAAGGGACCCTTAAGTGGAGGACTGCAAGAAGGAGAACTAGGTTGTGGTTAGGAGGGATGAGAACGTCCCACGACATATAAAGGTGGTGACATGGGCCAGCCTTCCTCATTCTCCTCTTGCCACGGCGGCCATCCTTGGGTGTTGACCCCTTCTAGCTAGACATCTTTACCCAGCCTTGGACTTGAAGGAGACCGCTAAGCACTCTGGCAGAAACCTGAAATACCCAAGTCTTTCAATCGTCACAACAATTCTACGAGCTTGAGGGATCATCCCCTTTAGATGAAGCAACTGAAGCTCGAAGATTGATAAACGAAAATGGGGCATTTTCAAGAAAATCTGGATTTACAGCTTTCCGAGAAGAACCTGACAACACGGCAGCACCAGGCCTGCTTCCTCTTTTACCGCTCCAGTTGGCTGGGGCCGAGTAGCAGCTGCCTCATTCAGAGGCGTGTGTACAACACATTTCCCATCCGGCCTGCTTGGCTTCTCTATTTCTGTCCCCTCTGTCCATGGAAGTTATACTTCCCTGGGTGGGTTTAGGAGCCTCCTCCCACTGTCACTCACCCACACTCCTCCTTGCAAGTACTTTTAATTCTACACAAAATTTTCATTGTTCAAGATTTTTGTATTGGATCATTTTAGTGACTCTGAACATGGCAAGGTTACTTTTACGGGGTGAGAGCTCACAGGGCCAGACTATTTTTCTTCCCTCCGACTGCACAGTCTTTGCCAATCAGGTATGTATGTCCTTCACTCAAGAAAGGGGCCTACTCTATCTTTCATCGGAGGCAGTCTGCAGGGCCCTTGTCAGAATCTGGAGGTTGGCAATAGGATGCAGTGACATACATCCTCCCTATTAGCTGAAAGTCAACAGTGTCCACTAGACCAGGATACTTAATTCCCACCTGCTCCTCTCTGCCTCACTTACAACTGGCCATGCTGTAAGATCTCAAAATTTTGAGTCCTAGTAAGGGATCAACTGTCCATAAATTGTACTCGGCTCCACTCTGAAATCCTAACTGGCCAAAGAGTGGGTGGTTAAGAGTGGGACACAGGAGTCAGTGGGCCTGGGTCCAAATCCTGGCCCTATGTGACCTTAGGCAAGTTACTAAACCTCTCTGTGCCTCAGCTTCCCCCTCTGAAAAAGGTACTCATAAAGGCATCTACCTAATATGGCTGCTGCAGAGATTAAGTTACACATTACATGTCAAAACGCCTGGCATACACTCAGCTGGCAAAATATTGGCTCCTAGTAGCATTACTATTGCTAGTTATGACAATTAACATCACGTTCTGTTAAGAGATCTGTAACTAAAAGTGACCACATCAAAAAATTCCAAGGGAGTTTCTTATGTAAAGTTCCACATACAATTTTCCCATGTTTGATGGATACAAGTTTGTAATATCCTTTCTAATTAAGGGGGTTTCCTTTAATATCAACAACAGGCTTTAAAGTAAGAGGATATTTTTCCACATCTTAAAATGGTCTTATTTTTTTCTTAATAACTTGCCTGAGCTGAAGACGTACATAAGCAACATGTTGGTGATAAGACTAGGGTGCTTAGAAATGACATGGAACTACTGACCCAAGCTCCCACTGCATTCCAAACAATTAACCAATAGGAGAGGAATGGAAAAGATCCAAATTAAGCACAGTGCGGTGGTATGAAAATGTACTCTGGAACTAAACCTCCTGGGTTCACATCCGTGACCCTGGGCAAGTTACCGTTCTGTGCCTCAGTTTTCCCATCTATAAAATGGAGATAATGACAATACCTGTCTCAGAACTATTGTGAAGACTGAGTCAGGACATTTAAAGACTGGTACACAGTAAGTACTGTTCAGGAACTATTATTATTAAAAGAAGAGACAACTAGGACAAGAGGCACAGATCACCACCACTTCTCCACTGATATGCAGTCTCAGAGAAAGAGCTTCTTTCCAGCAGTGACTCACATTTGGACAGTATGCTCGTCTTAATGGTAAGGGTATAAGCAGGAGCCTCCAGATTCTCCAAAAGGTCCACGGAGGCTCACCAGAGCTGTGGCCAGGCTGATGCCAGGTGCAGAATGAGCCTTACCTTGGGTCTGAGGTACACATTCAACAGATAGTCACCATAGTTATTATTCATGGCATCATCTAGTATCCCAGAGGATATAAAACGCCTTTCATCCTTCCCCAAACCTCCTCTCTGCCACTCAGGACCTATTACAAAACTGTTTCTGTCTAGAATTAACTAATTTCCCACACCCAAGGCAGTTGGCAGTTTTACTCAATAACCAAACTCTTAGGCAGTCCTCCACAGATTAGGAGTAAAGGGGAGGGGACGGTTTACTTAGGGATCTGGGCTCCAGATGATTAAGGGACACTGCACAGTACGTATGGGGAACGGAGTGCAGCTACCAAGGCTAGTGGGCGGGATGAGGGTGTTCCCGCCATGGGTTACTAGTCAGTCGTCAATAAAGCCAATACAAATCTTTGAAATTTACTCAGTTGAATTTTGTTTTTTAACGAGGTACAAGGCACTCTTCTAGGAAGTGGGAAGGCTTGGCTCCCGGATCTAATCAGACAGGAATGCATAAATATACTCATCAGAGCCCAGAGCTAGGTGCCAAAACACTGGGAGAAGGGGAAAGGAAGGGCTGGGCTTCCCAGACGAAGGAAAAAGTGGACAGAGAAATGGCAGAGCTGAGGAGCGATCGGTGAGACCCCAGGGGTCCAGCTCACCTTTCACGAGCCAGGTGGCCGTGGCAGCTGAAATAGAGGCTTTTGCGTTCCCTACCCCTATGCCCAGCAAGACTGCGTGGGTGGCCAGGGAACCCGAGAGGCTGGAAGCAAAGGCCTGGAGAAGAAAAGAAGTGGGGTGAGGAGTGGGCGCAGGAGCATGGAGGTCTAAGACCTGTTATCAGCTCTCCTGGGTGTGTGGCCTGGGATGTGTCACAGCTCGGCTCTGGGCCTCAGTGTCCAGTCTGTAAGCGGGAAGGGAGAGGTGGCGCGCTGTCTCCCCTGCCCCGGCTACATGTCGCTCCCTTCCCCAGTCGGCCGGGCTGACCTGCACGGAATCCCACAGCTGGTAGGGCAGATAGTCCGGGCTGACGCTATCGGGGAAGCCCTGAGGCAGGAAGACAGCCAGGAGCCGGGAAAGAGGTGGAACGGCCGTCCCGGGAGCCACCCTTTCGCCCCCATCTCGTCCTCCGGGTTTCGCTGTGAAGGCCCCCGAGAACCCCCACCAGCGCCGCCCCCAGGCCTCCCACTGCAGGGTCCCGTCGGCGGCGGCGCGGCAGCCCCGGGCCGTCCCGGAGCCGAACTGCTCGGAGCACAGTGGGGCCTCACTCCTGGCGACATATGCCATCCTGGATTCCTCCCTTTAGTTCCGCGGGAAGAGAAACGTGGACGGAAGACGCGTCCTGCTCGGCTACGGCGGCTGCAGAGGGGCATTATTTCTTCGCGAAAGAGCCTCCTTCCTCCGCGTACTCTTCCAGCCAGCCCAAGAACCAGATGGTTCATTTCCGACCTCCCGGCCCCGCCTCGACCCCTCGGGGCTGCCCGGTCCTGGTTCTTTGTAGCATCTTGTCTGGGGCCGCGGGAGCCCTTTGGCCCGCCAAGCCCTGAAGGTACCTGCTTTGCTGTGACCCACGACTTACAGTTATGGGGAGAAGGGAAGAGGGCGTCCCTAGGGAATCGTGTTGAGACCCGGTGCGGCCACAGAAAATTTCGCTGTGTGGCTTTGGGCAACTCAGTGTCCCTCTCTGGTCCTCGGGTGGCTTCTTTGCTGTGAAGCCAGGGCCTGTATTTTACTTCTGTTCTATCCCCGGTACCCAACACATAGTAGGTGCGTAAAAGAGATAATATTTATGAATGAATGCATGCATGATGAGAAGTTGGACCAGATGATCCCTGAGGCCCTATAAAGCTTCCCTTTTTGTTTGTTTGTGTTTTTTTGGGTTTTTGTTTTCCTTCTGGGCGTCTCTGGCCCTCCACTAGAAATTTTCAGCCCTTCAGCCTTTCCCGACTGGAAGAGTATTATTTCTGAAAGGATCCTAAGAACATTTGAGGAACAAGAAAATCAAGGGATTGTAGTGAATAGTGTCAGCAAATAGGAGACATAGGCAAGAAGTTCTTCTGTGTTTACTGGGGGAGAGGGACATGAAATTGGGGGAAAAGTCTAAAGACAGTGTTTCCCTCCAAACTCACCTCTTTTTCTCTTTCCC